AAAAGAGGAAAAGCAAAGGCAACACTGTGAGTTAAGGTAGGTAAATAGAAAGGAAATGGAAATAAATTAGAAACTATGAAGAGCTTGTTTTGGGAGGGGTATAAAATCTGCGATAGGGAGGAGCAGGAAATAAGATGGTATAAGTATTTAGGAAAGATAGTGCCCATGACTAATGGTCCACATGGATTCATTCAAAGCATGTTCCTGCCCAACTTGACTCTGCATTTCACAAGAGTGGGAATCTTGGTACCCTTCCAGAAAAATTATGAATATTGATTTCACTAAAGTAATGTTGGATATAAGTTGGTGAAATTTAGTTGAGCCTTTTAAAAAATTTAATACTTTTGCAGTGATATTGATGATGCCAGGGAAGCCACGGTTCCTAGATAGTTGATACAAAGCTGGAAGGAATAGTTAATATGATGAAATAGTTAAGCCTAAACAATCTTGAGAGACTGAATGTAAAGCGTGATCAGATAACAAAAGTTATTTAGGATGCAAGAAAGTTGATGAAATATGTATAATGTGCCTAAAAATAAATCCAAAAGCTATTCTTACTAAGAATATTAAGGAACTAGGTATATAGCTCAATGGTAGAGTGCTTGCCTGGTGTACACAAGTCCTGGGTTTGATTCCCAGAACTGCAAAAAGCTAACAATAAAAGGGAATACTAAGTTTCAGGAGGGTTAGTTGATATCCCTCAATGATCTGGCATATGGCAGAGGTGGAATGAATGCCCAACCCAGGTCTATCTGGAATCAAAGTCTGTAAGACTCATATCTATCACAGGATCATTAAATATAAAGGTAGTGTGAATATTTATTAAGAGAACTTTAAGTCATATTTTGTATTAAGCGAAAGATCAACAATGTCTGTCGGCACGCTAAAGAATTTTTGTTTTTCTGATAAAACAAAGAATCTATTTTTGATAAAACAATTGGACCTAAATATACTAAATATTTTACCTAAATTTTATATAGGCCAAGAATTATGTGTCAATAAATAAAATTTTCTTATTTGAACTGTAATCATCTTCAGTTCACAGTAATGTCAGAAAATCCACAGCTTGCCAACTAACTGTATTTTAATCACAGTCATTTTTTAAACATATTCTGCAAGGTTATTAGTTGGTCTGTGTACGTGGAAGTACTGTGGTCATATTAAATATAGTAAGTTTCTTCCATGAAGCACTCATGTGCTAGTTAGTGTTTCTCTCTGGTTCTCCTTTCTCATTGTTTCTTTTCCATTGCTTCTTTTTCTCAAAGACAGCCTCCATGAGGTCTCTGGTATAACTTCATGACATTTGTATGACACTGGTCCCAGTCGAGTATTGATTACAAGTTGATTTCTGGGAGTGACATCTCCCCCTCCCAGGAGTGGCTGCCTTGTTACCTGGTTCCTGTGGTCACAGTGTCATGGAGGCATGTGTCTCCTTGCCCCTCCTCATTATCCATCTGTTGTGCTATCTACTGAATTACAGGACACCTCTCACTAAGCTTTCAACTAAAATGTCTCTTAACACTAAGTCTCCTTGAATCAGAATCCTTCTAGCTAGCTCATCTAGCTCTCTCTACATTTGTCTGTGGTACTAAAGATTGAATTTTAGCTGCTTTCTCTTAGCTTCACTGACACATAAGAGACCTTGTGAATTTCTTATCAGTTACAAATACTTAGATATATCCCTTGTTATTATGAATCTTTTTCACCATTCTAAGTCCAATGATGCATCTTTATCAAAAGCCAGGGATTTTGGGGCCGGGGATTTAGCTCAGTGCTGCCGCCGCCTGCCTCACAAGTGCAAGGTCCCAAGTTCGATCCCTGGTACCAAAAAAACTAAACAAACAAACAAACAAACAAAAAACCCCAGGGATTTTGAAGTAAGTCAGGACAATAGAGTTAAAACTATGTAACTCCTCTCTCCTTCTCTTCCCCAATCCCTTACCCCAGTCCTCAGAAAGATTCCTTTCTTCTCTGGTCTAGTGAAAGTTCTAAGAAAAACAATCTTCATTCTGAATTAATATGAATTTTACAAATAAAAATTCTTGATTTTAATCTAGTACTTTTTTTGTATTAATATGGTGACTGTCCTTTTTGAAAATATGCCTCTATCCCACGACCTATGCAAAATGGCCAAAGTGTTTGAGGGGACTAGAACGTATCTGTCTGAGAAGAGGTATGTCAAAAATAAAGCATTTCACTATATTTGAGCAATTTTAGGTAAAGCAAAAGTTATAACGCCTTCTCCCCTACCTCTTTTCTTATTATTTTTCAAGGCTTTGTTTGTGTTTTCCTTTGTTTTAAATGATTCAATATATTAAAATTTACTTTTTCTCAAATATTAAGATATTTAAAACTTTCCCTATTTTTCTTTCATATCAGAAAAGCAAATTCAAATTGCTGCTTGCTACATACTTTGTAACCAAAGGACTAGAATTGCAGTCTGTGTACAACTTCCTGTAACTCCTTCATTACCGTCTAGTATCCGAGCTTCTTACACAAGAAGCTGGTTAGGTGATTCCTCAAAGATAGTTTCTTACATTTTCCTTTAAGTTGTTAAAAAACCTTTAAAATTTCTATGTGGCCCTAGAATCTTAAGAAACGTGATTAGATATTGCATTTTAAAAATAAATACACTTACAATAAAGTTTTCTTTCTCCCACAACTATCTACAGCCAATACTGAATTTGTGCTTTTATCCTAGCGAGATTTGTTGCGGCTTGTGTGATATTTGTTAAAGATGCAAAGCTGAAAATATTCAGAAAAAGAGAGACTCTTCCTGTTCACAAAATATTTCTCTCCCTGTTTCCGTCTATCAATTCTTTGAAGAATTTCTTGAAGGTTCGCAGGATGTAAGGAAGGAAGGAATGAAATGAGAGTAAGATTTTGGTGAACCGTGATTTTGAGATAAAAGATTAAGATAGGAGAAGCAACTACCAAAATTGATATTTTGCGCATAGAGGAAGAAGTTTAAACAGAAGTTTTAGAAACGCCATCATGGGTTTTATGACGGAACATGACCAGCGGTGGTTTTTACACTGGCCGATGCTTGAAACTGTTGGCACTTTGGAGATGAGATTTCACGCAGACTGATCACATGCACTGCGGTCCCAAGAGGTGGTGGAAAAGGAGACAGTGAAAAAGAAGAGAAAGCATGGAAGGTGGGGTGCGAGGAAGGTGGTAGAAGGCCTGTGTAAGGAAGTGTATATAATGTTTACATTTTGTTGAGCTGCTCCTTACATTCTCTCATTTAGTGAGAAAAACAATTAAGAAGATGAAAAGTAACTAAAACTGTAGAATTGTCATTTGAAACATTCATAATTTTCTGTAAGCATTGTATCACGTTTTGTAATTTCCAAATGTCCCCAGACTCTTCTCATAAAACTTTCAAGAAAAATTTAGATACAGTTTTTAAGGTTGTTCATTAGTGTCTTCAAAGCATTTCATGTCTAATATCTGAACTGCAGCATTTTGTAGGATTTTCAGACTGTGTGTGTGTGTGCGTGATATCATACGACCTCTGAATAAAACCCATTTTAGTATTTGTCAAGGGTACATTTTTCTCTACTCTTATGCATTTTGTGCTCCTGTCTTTCCTCTACCATTTATATTCGGGTATGTTTTATTTTGTCTTTCTAGCATGGGAGAACAAGCCAAAGTTCTCATGCATTTTAGCTAAGTGCTCTACCGCTGAGCTGCACTCCCAGTCTGGTTCAGGTGTTTAAAAAATTTCTCAGAAAAGCAATAAAAATAATTATTTTAATCACAATCATACTTATTAATTTTATCAAAACATATCTTGCTTACCAAATTCAATAAATGTACTCACCAATTTCAGGCATGAAATTAATCCTAATTATTGTAATAAATTAAAATTTCTAAAACTAGGTAATTTCCAAAAAGTGAACAAATGCCCTGAGATAAGAGGAACAATATACTGTTTTAACTGTGTATATATTTTCTCAAGGTTACTACTTTAAAAGAAAACCAATTATTTATTTGTGTAACTTATGGCTTTTTTATGCATAGGCTGTATTTATCACTGGTATTTCAATTGGGCATGTTTTATATGATCTCCCTGTATTTTATCTTGCTATTTGTCTGAATGGTATTTTAAACAGAAGTTTGTATTTCAAGACAGACTTTCCTATTAACATTACATCTATTTGTTGCTGTCTGTTCCTTTCACAGATAGTTATGATGCCCAGCTCTGTGATCCATTCTGCAATTAAATTGGTTGTGGTAATTACAGAAATCATCTAACTGATATGGACAGTATACATCCAAGGAGCTGAATCTTTAAAGTTTTAATTATGACTACTTTTTTATATTTTGTAGAATAAAAGAAATAGTAAATATTATGCATTTCTAATATTCAATTCAGTAATCATGAAATTTTTAAACACAGTACAAACAGCACAATAATTCCTCTCTTCATTTTGACTCAAAACTTGGAAACCAGGGCTGGGGATTTAGCTCAGTGGTTCCGCTGCCTGACTCACAAGTGCAAGGGCCCGAGTTCAATCCCTGGTACCAAAAAAAAAAAAAAAAAATCTTGGAAACCACTGACATTAGACTGCAACAATTATTTAAAAATAAAGCTGGTTCCTTTCCCTTCCCAGAAAATGCTTGTTCTGATGCAGTTCTAGTGACAGGATAGAATGCCTGTCCTCCTTACGTACACCAGGAATGACTTAGACTCTGAAAACCAAAGTTACACCCTAGAGATTCCATTCCCCTAAGGTTACTCATCTGGACCACAAACCTGTGTGAAAATAGACACAGGGAGCAGGTGGAATTACCCTATGAATCATCCCTTTAATGTAGTGAAGCCTTGGAGGGAAGAGGAGGGAGGATGTATTGGTTGTTAGGAAAATGTAGGCTACTGGGACAAAATGACATCCTCTATTAATAAGATCTAAGGTGCAACTCATGTAATTGCCCTAATTTTTAAGATTGATGGGAAGTGTGAAGCATTTCTTCATAAATGCCTAAAGTGTACAAGACTGCATATAGTTTTAGAATGTGATTTTTTTATAAAAGAAGGTGGAGATCCCAACTTCCTTTGTCTTGTCTATATATATGTCTGAGTGTGTGTTTTGGTGTTTCCTGGCAAGTGACTTGACAGAGAAACTAAACTGAACAAAGCAGCCTTAATTTGAGATGCTAACTGGCACCATGAAAATATCAGGTGTATTTCTGCTCCTCTCTCTGGCTCTTTTCTGCTTTTTCTCAGGTGAGTTCTTTCTTATAATTAAGACTCTATATCTATATTGAAATGAAGATGAAAAGAGACATTGTCTATCATATTTCAAAATTCTAATGATCTGAATGCAAAAGACCAATTGAAAGATCATCATGAGGATGATGATAATGATTGTGATGATGGGAATTATTATAATAATAATGGTAAAGAGGAATGTCATTTACTGAGCGTATACTATATTTTAGGCATGTACTAAGGGTTATTGTGTATTATGTCTAATATTCATGGCAAGGAATTTATATCTCTTTTATAAATATAAAAAACTGTGGCACATAAAAATTAAAATTGTCAAAGGACTTGCAACTAGTAAATAGAATTTGGAATTTGAATCCGTATCTTTTAGATTTTGCATTTGATGCAAATAACTGGTCTGGAGCATGGATAATTGGGTTAAACAGTTTGTAATATAAATCTAGGCTTTCAAAGACAAAGGAAAACTTCCCTGTCAGTTATTATAGAGGGACTCAAATAATGAAAGTTGGAACAAGGGAAAAAATGGAAACACAATGAATAAACTCTTAAAAAGAGGTTATGGAACCTTGGAATGTGAAAACATGATACTGCAGAATCACACAATTCTTCAAGCAGGGGAATATTTTTGTCTCCTTTAATAAGCAACAGTCATATATTTTATCAATTAAAGTGGCTTTAATTCAATCATATGTCAAGATAATGCCTTTCATCTGGAGATGAAAAGATTTCTGGTTGTCAGGATCATCTGAATGAACAGAGCCATTTATATCTATTTTCTTCTATATTTTTCTAATCATGTTTTAGTGGACAATGTAGTCTCATCTTTTTCATTAAGAACCCATATTGACTGGAAAAAACTCAATTCTCTGATATTTTCATTCTTGTATAAAATGTTACTAACTAGGCTAATCCCTGAAATCTTCCATGAAAGATGTATCATTTTGTGTAAACATAACAAATAAATTTTGCTGCTATCAAAGATTTTAAATGACTGAACATGTAAAAACAAATTTTCAATAAGATTTAGCTAAGTCTCCAAGTGTTTATTCACCTTCGTTAGCCACATTTACATAAATAAATACATTTAACTATGAAAAATGGATTAAGATTCCTGTGCTATTATGGAGTAAACTTGATTACTGAAGCCAAATAATTTTAATGGGTAGCTTAATCAATTGCTGAGATGCAGAACAAATAGACCAATGTTAAAAATTTAGTTGTAAAGGTAGTCTTCAAAATCAATTACGATTCTCTTATTGCTTCTCTTTACAAGGATGAACTTATACATACTAGGACCTGATAAACAAATACACCAAATTTAACAAAGGATCTGTACTTCATAGACATAATAGATATTATTTGAGAGAACAATAGTTCCTAGAATTTTTGATTGTGAAGAGAGAAAAATTCATTTAAGTCCTGGTGTTTTCATTTTATAGCGTTGTGACCTTTCTGAGCCCCATTTTCTTCGTAGACAAAGTGGACTATACAAGGACTATCTCTATGTGGGGCATTAAATGAAGAAAATGCATGTAAAGTGTTTAATATAGTAGATGGGGCATAAGTGTTTAGTAAATGTCTTTTATTACTGGCAAATTAAAATTTATTAAAAATAGTGCAAAATTAGACTCAGTAATTATGGGTATTACCTTCTTTTCTACTTTGCTCTTTACATATGAGACATTAGGAAAATCCCTCCTCTCTGATCACAGATTTGCCGTCGAGAATTGACTGAAAATAGCAATATTCAATCTTCTCTGGCCAAAAAAGTCACAGAGACATCACAGAAATAGACTCTAGGATTTTTCTGGATTTGTATTATAGTTTTCAAGGGACTGTGCTAAGAATTTGTATTTTTAGCAACCCCTCATTCTGTGGTTTATGAATTAATAATGTTGGTAAACATTGCTGGAAATGATCAGTAACTTTTTTTTTTCGAACTTAAGAAGCCTTGTTCCTCTTCTTAAACCCATTAATAGAAACTGGACTCTTGGGGTGTTTCCAGTAGTCCTCCCCTAAATGTTAGCCAATATTTAGTGCAATCCCTAGACAGTGGATTGTATTAATCCACACTCTTCCTTACAGAGGTGGTTTTAGGCTTATGTGTGAGAGGTGCTGCTCCAGGAGTTCCATAGAAAAGACCACAGATCAAAACTTAGCAGCTCGTACCAGGACTGGATTTAGGACTTTTATGATTCTAGTAATTTACACCACTTAGCTCATTTATTGCAATCAAAATTACACATTCTAATAAGAAGGAAGAAGGAGGGAAAATTACTGTATAAGAATTCTTTTTCTCTTTAAGGAATTTAGAACTGTAGAAGAAATGAGGCATAGAAGAGTGCATGAGTTGATTCTCCCCAGGCTAAGTTTGGGCCAAGTCTTTGAGGCTGAGTATCTGCAGAGAGGGCAGAACAGTAGCCCTGAGCTCAATGAACAAACAACATACTCCCCAGCTCCCTGTAACGAAGGCTTTTAGAAGAAACTGCATGTGCTGAACTTAGGAACTTCAGTGTTAGAGAAGACTTTCCAATTCAGCTTCCTCAAAGCAAGACCAAAGATGACCAAGTTGCTCCCATAATAAACTAGTGACTTAGCCAGAACTCTCACATGAATCTTTAGACCCACAAATAATTTCCTTCCACCCCACTCTAACCTCCAACAAATTCTTCCCCTTTCATAATGCCTGTGTTTTTCCATAATGGCCCAAGTTTTTTTCTACTCACTAAGAAGGGGCAAGTTCAAAAAAAAAAAATGGGGAAAAAAATGCTTGAGACGCCCAAGGACCAGGAACAAATACTGAGGATTTTCTAAATTTGCGGGACTCGATTGTTGCACATTCATAAATTACAGCGTTTGGATTTTATGCTTTTTTTCAGGTGTCTTCACTCAGGGCAGACAGGTCAGTACCTACTTTTTATTTATTTTTCCACCTGGGTGGTGCTTGACTGGTATTCTTTGACCAAAAATAGGTGTGTTTATGGTGTAAAAGATCAAAACTAATAAGCAATAAGGACAATTGCAGAAATCATCTGAAATGATTTTTTAAATTTTTAATCTCTTAGGAATATACTATTTAAGTTTAAAAATCCTCATTTAAATCCTAACTTAAATGAACATAAGATAGATATGAGATAAAATTCATGCTTTATTACTAACTTCACAGTGTGATCTTGGGGAGCCAAGATATTCAGGTTCTCTGAGCTGCAACTTTTGCTGCTATAGACAAAGAATGCTAATATTCAGTTTCTAAAATTGCAATTATATCTAAATCAATGAAAGCCTTTGGGAAAGTCTAAAAGTTAAAGAGAATTAATCATTAACCACATTTGGAGGAGTTAGGACAAATATCATTGTTTCTTTTTAAGAAATAAGAACTGAAAATAAAGAGAAAACTTTAAATGCTGTGTATTGAGGATAAACAGACTGACACACTCAAATTTAAATACAGTTTGAGGTTAAAATTGGGGTGGGCACAGAGTTTCTTCATTGTTGGATATTTCTCCCAATTTAATTCAACAGTGTTTTCTCTACCTTTCTTAATCTATCAAAAACTGACACAAATATGTGTTCTTTGCTCTGCCAATCCCCATCCTATGTCCATATCGACCATTTCTACTTGATCTTGCCGAGTTTTGTTTAGCCCTGGTGGAGCCAAGACCTCTTGGCTTCAAAATCTTCAGACATTATTGCCAATTGATTGGAGCTGGCAAAAAGGTTGAAAAGTATTTTCCAACCTTGATTCATCCACTCCAAAGCATAAGAATTTGTTTTTCCATCTCAGAGTTTTAGCATCTCCGAAGTTAAGATGGGTCTTGTAATTGATGATAGCTTAAACAATCTCTGTCTATGTTTACCACATGCACATGTGTGTGTGTTGCTTTATAACACTGTAAATCTCAATACTGACTTCTTATGTTTAAATAAGCATGGATCACAGTGCATAGTAAATATAAAAGCAAACACACAAGCAAACACAAGGTTGAGCCAAAGTGTTTCACATCACTTTAGGTAATAAAATACAGTGATAAGATTACTACACACAGATCTAAGAGGTAGGAAATTTAACACAACTTTTATCACCAACATACAAGTCACCTCCTTTTGTAAGAACTTTATTTCTCAGGGTTTTAAATTGTGTTTTCTAAAATTCATATACAATGTTCTATGTCCTGATTCTATTCCATTAGACAGGACAAAATCTTCTGCTTCCTTCAGAGACACTGAGATACTTTGTAAATATCAGATACTCATGCCATATACAGTATTGAACAATAATTGCAGAGGTAAGGGTCTTGGGTCTTCATTCCATATGATTATCCAGGTGACACACACAATAAAATCTGAACATTTTTTCTAGGTGACAGGAAGCAAGCTGTATTGGCAAGCACTGATTTTGGAGTCTGGCAATATAGATGAGTCCTAATTCAATACTTACATGTTGGGTGATTTGGTTAATAACTCTCCCCTTCTCAATGCCTTTGTTGCCAAATCTTTAAGATGAAGGGTTGGATTCAAAGATCTCTAAAGCTTCTTCTTGTGCTAAATATTTAAATTATTATGAACCCAGCCAGTCCTACCAAGGCTGCTGTTTCTCCTCCACTGAAATTCTGAAATTTAAAGGACAGGGAAAATTCCACCCTTTTAGATCATGTCAAGTCTGGCCTTGCTTTTCTGTGTGGATGGAGGGAGATCGTGGCAGGACTTGAAGCCAACATTAGTAGCATGCCTGCTTAAGTCTGACCCAGCCAACACAAAAGGGTGTCAGGTTTCCCCAACACTCCATTCTTCTCATGCCAAGGCCTGGCCTCAGGATGAAACATCTGCTGGGAGATTATAGTTAGCAGTCCAAAGTATAGACCTTTAAAATTTCACCTTATTTCAAAAATATTATTCAAGCTAAACACAAAGCATATTCCCAGACTTCACATTCCAATAAAATTTTCTCTGTAAATATGCATGACTCATATGTTCCCGAATCTTTAATTTGCCAAGTGGTTACATTAAGTAACTTTAGTAAAAATGACAATAAAATAAAACTACTATTTAACATCAAAAGCATTTCATTAAACAAATTGTGGTATTACATCAAAAATTTTAAAGATATTTTCAGAAAAAGATAGTAATTTGAATTGAAAAAAACTTTGCTTTTTGAACTACTCAATACATTGCTTTTAATATTTTTTATTTTCCCAGTGTGCTCTGTATTTTGAGACTGTATCCTCAAAGAGCTATTTAAATGAATAGTCCGGACTGAACTGAATGCATCAAGCCTCTTAAAAACAATGATTTGCAACTGTCTTTTGTTGCAATACTTTTGGGGGATAACTAAGTTTATTCTTGTTTGTATTTGAGATAATATTGGTGAGTTTTAACACACTTCAAATTTATGTAAAACAGTGCTCTGTAACTAGAGTAAGTTTGGAGTTCTTGGGTTTCTCTAGTAAGTTTGATTTTACATAAAGTAGTGTACTGATGAATATCTAAATGCAGTTTAGAGATGTCACCTGGCATCTACATTAGAGATGGGAAGACTGAAGCCGTAGAAAGAGGAGCTGGCTGGCTATGCATCAACAGCTCGGGCTGAGCCTGTACCAAGTGAGCTTCAATAAGCAATGAAAGATGGGTGGGAATGTTACTCAGGGGTGGGGCACTCACCTAGCATCTGCCAGGCCCTGAGCCCAATTCCCAGCACCAGAAAAAAAAAAAAAAACAGTGAAAGCCACTGTGCAGTGCATGCGAAAGGACTTCAAACAGTGTCATTTTCTAAACAAATATGTTAATAACTATGATTATTATCCTCATTTCTTAAGAATGTGATGAAAACAGTTTAAAATAAGATTAGCTCTTCTCTACATGTAACAAGCATTCAAAACCAGGAGGAAATGGAGCCAGAGACAGAAGAATTTACTGTATTGGTTCACACAAGAAATGTTGAAGGCTCGTACAGCTAGTAAACTTGGAATTTGAAAAGAAGGCTTGAAGTGAAGAAACACAAAATGTAACAGATGAGGAAAGAGGTAGCAGTGCTTTGGTGTGAAGGCAGGATAGGGAATCTTAAGAGTAGTGCTATCATGAAAAATTAAAATTCAAAAATAGTTTGCAGAAAAGATAAAGAGTTATATTTGGGATATAAATATATCATAAATGTTTCTTTCCTCTCCTTTCTTTCTTTCTTTCTTCTTTTCTTCCTTTCTTCCTTTCTTCCTTTTTTCCTTTCTTTTCTTTCTCCCTTCTCATCACTTCCTTCCTGCCTTCACTTCCTCCCTCCTTCCCTCCTTCCTTCCTTCTTACCTTTCTTTCTCTTTCAGGATCACTTGAAGTGATCCTCCTGTCTCAACTACCCAAGTGTTGGGATTGCAGGCATGTGCCCCCGCGCCCAGCTACAGGCATACTTTTTGAAAGTAGTTTCAAAGGAGTAGAAAAGGTGTGGACATGGGGGGAAGTGTAGGTGTGATTGCAAGTTTTCACTGGCTTTATTTGAACACCTAAATGATAGACTAAAATATTAAAGATTCGACTCCTTAGTTGACTTAATAACCACATAAGCACAAGTTTACAACCAAGTTAAATGATTTTTTTTGTTTTAGCAAAGATGACTAATCTGGGTACTGTCACTCCATCCAGAAATGTTTTAGAAGATGAAGTTCTTCGAATCACCACAAGGGAGCAGGCTGATACTAAACATCGGCATCCGTGCACCTAGAAGTAGTCCCCAAGCTGGGGTACCAAAGAAAAATGGATATTTCTTGTTAAAGCCAACAGCAGAGTATACAAGGTTAAAAAATATCCTTAAATAGGATAAGCAATAAAATGGGCTCCAAAAATTCTAGGATGTGATGCAATTTACATTGCTGATCTTTATCATAGTGATCTTCCAGATAGTACTTGATACCTGACAGTGTTTTTGTAGGACTATTAGGACAGTCCTAGTAGATAAGTATGGTATTGCCAGCCCCCTGTAGAATGTGTAAACATTTACACTTAGAATAATAAGCATCTGTACACTGTAAGGCAGCTAATAAATTAAAAAAGAAAGATTCAACCTGGGTCACTCCAATTCCATCCAGGGACAGCCCCATAACATTACAACAGCATTGGGGCATTTTAATTAAATTGGGAATATTTGACTTCTCCTAAGTCTCCTAAATGCCTCATGGATGAAACTTTAAAGAAGAAAATATAATCCTATTATCACCTTCAATCTAGAGCTGCTTTGATTCCCACTATGAAGCCAGTTGTTTGGATTTCATTTAAAAGAGTTCAAAACAAAAATATTAAATAGGGGAGGAAATTTGGGTGGAGGAAATGCCTGGCAATGAAAAGATCGCAGGTTGTGACAACTGTGACCTCTCTAGCCCTGCTATGCCCTTGCCTCATTCTGCATTAAGAAGGGATTTCCAGATAACTGCAGAGGCATTTGAGAGTCTCCAGAGAGGGGCTGTCTTTTGCTCCTGGTCATCCTGCTAAAATATCTCGCCCAGTGAATGCAGAGGGCTCCATAGATGTCAGTTGCTTTCACTCCCACCCAACTGCTAAACCTAAGAATGTAAGACCTTTATTTAAACCAATTCATTGAAAGTAGTCACTGCTGAATCTTAGATCATGTAAATTAACCTAGCCTTTAGAGATTGTATGGTCTCCTGGTGTGTAGACCATTTTCTATACTATTCAGTTAAAAGTGGCCTACAATAAGAAGGTTGCTTTCCACACTCCGAATACAAAACTATTTCAAATATTCCACACTGAGTCTAGAAGTCTTGCATATCCACATTTGATCCCTAAGAAACTCCTGGAAATATGGGAATGAGACTTGGCAAGGATTTGCTTGTTTTCTGGTTAAGAAAAATTTGGCATACTGAGTTCATCATCTAAGATAATACAGATAATTACCAGCAGCATTAGTTCTATAATATGCTTCTCAGCTGACCTGGGGCTTCACAGAGGGCTGCTGCAACTTAAAAGTATGGAGTGTGTTTGTTTTAATACAGTTTGTTCATACACCTGCTGATTGATTTGCTTTATTTATTTACTTATTTACTTCTTCGTTGTTGTTTTTTGTTTGTTTGTTTGTTTTTCTCCTCCTAACTGCTTTCTAGGGCATGGGGAAGGGGTGGAGTGTGGGTCTGGGAGGAGGCTGGTTCTGGAGAATCTCAAAGTGAATGCTCTCCCCAAGTTCCTCTTCTATGTCTGCTTTCTAAAGGAAAAAAGAGGCTGGCTCATGAGATCAAAGGGCCAATGGCCAGGGAAAGATGCCTTAAGAAGTCATCTCTTTCAAGTAAGAGATTTTCTTCTTTATTTTCTTCGTTGTTGTGAGGCTCGTCCTTGTCCCCTGTGGCACTTATCACACGTTGCACTGTGATATGCGAGCTTGCCTCTGCCTCTGTCATGCAGCGGAGACTATATGCAAATGAATATAGTGGTTATTACAGATTCTTCTTTGTATAACCACCACCCAGCACTGTGTCTTCCACATTTTTGTTACATGTCAGGCTATTTTGGAATAAATGAAGTATCAATGATATTGTAGTTCACAGGTTTTTTTTGACTAAAGCACAGTGTTGTCTATGTGACCTAAATATAAAATACATGAGCTTTTGAGGGAAAAAGTGTCCAGTGAGTTATACTGAACTCAAGATTTCCCTGCGTTATTTCATTTCCACTTGAAGATCTAAAGGAAAGATTATTTTTTGGAAGTAGTATGAGAATGGAATTATCTTTCAGAATGATATGGAAAATTAGTATCATAGGTAGGAAACTACATTACCCAACTTCAATAGTTTAAGATGCCAACTTTAAATATTGCCAGAAATGTGCAGTTTGTAGTACCTTAAATGAAATATATGTGGTATCTTTTAAACCTGATTGTCTGACTCTTTCACTGAGCATTTTCTTCCCTGTGCAAAAGAAACTTCAAACAACTTTGTGAGCTAATATCTTAAATGAGTGACCTTTGTTTTCAAGTGTTCATAACATTTCCTTAATATGCTATTTTTTTAAAGTGAATTTTATTGTGTATAAGGTATATAATGCAATGGAATGGACTAAATAGAGGTAGCTCAGTCTGTGTGTCAGTGTTATTGTTAGACTTGACTGGAGAAATCCACATGAAGGACATAACTATATGAAGCAATTGATAATCATAAGATGCCATTATTTAATGGAAGTAAGACAGGGATAATGCAGGTTTTCTCTAGTCATGGATAATTATCATTTCATTGCACAAGCAGATACTTGGAGTGGCTGAGTTTAATCTATTTTATATGGCTATATCCTGGAAAGAATGACACAGATGCCATTTGAATACCAAACATTGATTCTATTAACATTGCATTGAAAAGAATCTTACTACTACTGTCCAGATTGGCTTTGAGAAAGCACCATAACTGAGAGGTTATATTAGTGCTATAGGTGCTGCTCTTAATAATGATAACAATTATTAATCAGATACAAGAAATGTTCTCAACAAGACTCAGTTACAACTCAGAATCTTTCTAAATACAGCATCTTAGTCACTGCTAAGTTACTGGAGTTAGCATAAAAGTTCAAATTCTACAAACAGACATTGAGACAAAGTTAGTTACTATAGAGTCATTCAAAATTTTAAGGGGTAATAAATGGATGCTATGTTTCCTGGAGAAACTAATAAACCATTGGGTAATGCCTGGGGATCCTTCACAAGTATTATATTTTTATAATATGAAGAAAAGTACCCTAAACTAGAGTAATTTAATGTTGGAGCAAAAAGTTTTAAGTATAGCACTTAACATCATTAATTTACTCCTGAAGATAGTAATGTATTTTTTGTTGGTTTTTTGAGACAGGGTCTCATTATGTAGTTCAGGCTGGCTTTGAACTCACTGTGTAGCCCAGGCTGGCCTCAAACTCATGGCAATCTTCCTGCCTCAGCCTCTTGACTGCTGGGATTACAGGAGTGTACCACAGCACCTAGCTAGTAATGTATTTCTAATAGTGAATTTCCTGTGTCTTGAAAACAAAGTCTCAATATATATATGTGTGTGTGTGTGTGTGTCATTGTACTTAAGCAGATAAAAAGAGTCACTTTTTATTTCATGATGTTTTTATGTCACTAACCGTATGTGTCTATGGTTTTAAAACTTTGCTGTCCAAGTGCTCCATTCTGATGAACAGACCTTTAGATAGACTATGCTGATGTCAACAGCATGGCATTTATTCCTAGGTTGACTGCGGTGAGTTCCCTGACCCCAAGGTCTTCTGCACTCGGGAATCGGACCCCCACTGTGGCTCTGATGGACAGACATATGGCAATAAATGTGCCTTCTGTAAGGCAGTGGCGTACGTATAAGAATCACTAAACCGGTCTCTTTGCAAGGCAGAAACTTCCAGAGGAAAACTGAGATGCTTTCCTGGAGATGCTAAGAAAGTTCTACCCATTCTTCACCATAGAGACTAAATAAATACGGGAGGTGCACTGAAAATAAATGCATTACAAGCAAAACAACAAAAAAAGCAAGAAAAGTCAAAAAAATTACTTGAAACCAATCTTAATAGCTTTTACTTTATTAATTTTGATTCGTTTTAGGGAAATTCTTACAATTTATATATCTCACACATTATAATAATTTATTATCATTAGTAAGTCTGATACTTTCCTATCTTTATTCTTAATTTAAAATGCCAGTTTTAATACCAGTACGTAGTGAATGCATTGCTGTCAGACATATCTGACTAATTCATACCAAACTTTCCCCAGGGGAAGTTTAGTGGAGTAGGATAAGATTTGAATTCATAGACACATTTTACTGCAAGGGTCTGCATGTGCAGTTCCCTATCAAATGACAAGAGCCCCAATATGGGGTCGGTCCACTTTCTTACATCTTCTGTCAGGGCATAACTGTAACATTGTAGTCTCCTTGGCATTATTTCTCCTGCCACTTCTGCCTTTTCCACTTGTACATATATGTAACGTCAGAGAATAAGCAACTGGTACTGCAGAGTCTAAGGCTTATCAAAACTCTGAGATTTATGTAAGATTCATGCTTTCCAGGCCAGACGTTACCTCTGAGTGTATTTAATCTCTGCTGAATGATAGATATGGGTATATATAGAATAAATGATTAGATAGATCATCCCATAGTAAAGCCTGTTTCTAACATCTGTAGCCAATGCACACAATATTGCAACTGAGTACGTATTTATTTTTCTTTTTTTTTTTTTTATAGGAAAAGTGATGGGAAGATCAGACTAAAGCATCACGGAAAATGCTGAATCAAAAAAGCCAGCGTGTCCTGCTGGTTGGGCAGCTCTCATCCTTTCCTAACTTCTGCTTTACTTTTCTCTGGTGAATCACTTGAGTTTATAAAGAAACACCTTTTACTCTGTCCAAGTCCTAGGGAGTTCACTGTATGTCTATCTCCCCTGATTCGCTTGTCAATAAAGTAAATTCTGCAGAAGCATTGATTGTGCTTTTATTTGAAGATCAAGATGTACATCTGCAATGTGGAATCATTGACCTGGGATAATTTTGGCTTCAAAGACCTGTCATCTGATCTAAGTCAACCATCCAACCAGTGTGAAATCATGGGCAGCCTCCTTCCTTCTCTTATACTTCCAGTCTCTGTGAGAATAAGAAAGGATTTTAACAACACGATCACATGTTAGCCTTAATGTTATTTGAAAACATCTATTATTTAAGTATTAGATTACATAATATTTGGTTCTTTCTTATTTCAGGAAAAGGAAAGTAAAACTTTTGTTTCCTATGGACTATAGTTTTCATCTGTCTTTGAATAGCAGATTTTGAATATGTAATATTTAAAGACATACTTGGCTTCCCAACAACATGATAGGGTCTCCTAGATAGAAGGAAGTGAACAAATATTTTATACTTAGTATATATTCAATCAGTGGTGACTAGCCAAAAATATTGAATAGATACAAAATCTTTAAAAGATACACATGTAGAGAATGTAGTAACTTTTGAGCTTCATTTTGGAAAGAGAGAACTGTGTAAAACATTAGGAATCCTAAACACCAGAGAAGGTTTAATTGGCCGCTTGCCAAAGAGAATAGCTTCAGTTAGAAGAAAACTGATAGTTAAAAAAGAGTACGTTTTATAACCACCTCAGTCTTTGTGTAGCTGACTCCATTCTATGAAAACTCACAAGTTGCCTATGTAAATTCTGTCATTCTGAGCAATCCAGATGGAAATCTTGAGCGGGGGGGCTCTTTCTTTTAGTACTTTCATGTGGTACAACATGTTTTTACAAATAATATCTTCCTGGGGAAATCCACACAGCATACAGGTCTAGCTATATTTTCAATGTAATAACCATCATTCCCTCAACAAACATTCACTGGGATAAACTCTGTACTAGATTCTTGGGATATAGCTGTGGAAGAGAGCGAGAAGGAAAAATAACCTCAAATAATCAATGAAAGTTAGACTTCAGCAAAGAAAATAGATAAAACTATAAATATAACAAAAAGTAAATGACATGGTAAGGTAGAAGATGATAAGGACTATAAGAAAATGACTAAACATAGTCTATAGCATATGAATGAGAAATGCTTAGGAGGGTATAATAGACAATTGCAGTACTAAGTTACATGGTTAGAAATGTTCTTACTGAGAAGAACTGGAGATGAGAGAATTCAAATATCTTAAGAAAATAATAGGGCACAGTCCTCGAGGCTGGTGCATGGTGATTTACTCTAAATTCAGCAAGGAGGACTTAGTGGCTGACAAGGAGTGAGCAAGTAGGAAAACAATAGATTATAAGGTCATAAAGGAATGAGTCCAAATCATGAAAAGCTTGTTAAGATTTTGTTTTTTACACTGATGTATACATGTGTTCCTAATTATAAATATTAAGATGCTATTTCTGACTTAAAAATCTTAAATATACTGTGTGTACATACACAGTATAGATAACATAGCCATACATATATACACATCTGCACTTCTGTGCCTAAGGATTATTCCCCTGTATGCATAACAATGTGCACATTAACTAGCTGTACAATGTAAGATGTAGGCCATCAGGTCAGATGGATGAGCATGTGAACCACACCTCTAAAACGAGCTATATAATTTTGGACAAGTCATAGAATGACTTCCCATTCTATGAAGGAGATTTAAAAAATGACCTGTGTAAAGCACCTGGTTTCTGATACATAACAGGAGCTCAAAAAAAATCAGTTTATTTTATGATTATGCCCTGTTACCAGCATTATTCTGCCTACACATATAAGAATAGTATTGTTTTTACCTGATGGGTATCAGAGTGTTTAGTTTTGGAAAACATGTTTATTTTACTGTTTTTGAAAATCTTCATCTTGACTTTTTTCACCCTGTCATCTGTGTCTGCAGACTAAATTCACTGTTCATTAGCAAAATTAAGTATTTCTCTCCTTTGCTTTTCACTCCCTGAAATAATGTATTTCTAGTGAAAACATGGCCAATGCTGTGTGCAGTTTGACAGCACTCCTGCTGTGCATCTTTGGGAGGACTGTTTCTCAGCACAGCGCTCACCTTCTCCTGTTGGAACTGTCTCGGCTAGCTGAGTCTCCCTCTGCCTGTCCCTCCTGGAAGCCACTGGCAGCCCCCTGCTCTGCACTGCCTAGCTCTCCTCTCATGCACGTGTCTCATCTCCACCCTAATTCTACTAGTCATTCAAAGCTCACTTTTCAGGGGCTCTATCTGAAACTTGCCTTAATTAGATCTCCTGTGTACTTCTAAGCTACTTCTGGGGCTGAAAGGAAAGAAAACTTCTACATAAAAATAAATCACGGAGGGCTAGAACTCATGTCTCTTTAAAGAAGAATGAAGTCATATACAAAAATGTCAACAATAAAAATATAGGTATTTGTGAAACAGGAATGTATGACTTTATAATTTTTATGCGTTTCATGTTTAAACTACAAACATTTAGTGAAGACTTTTTTGGAAGGATAATTATCCCAATTTTCTTTTTTTTTCCCTTTTTTTAATTTTATCAGTACATTTTTGCAGTACTTGCATTTTACAATCATCTTGGGGAGATGGTACATGAACATAATACAGTTTGTTTCATTTTTCGGTCCCCTTCCCTCCCCTGCCTTCCTCCTCCTCTAGTTCCCCTTTCCCCCTTTTCATTCTTGTTCATATTATTAATCTTAGTTCATGTTTGTGGAAAATAATTTCCATATTCACTGAGGTTACTGCGATCTTACACCTGACATATCTTCACTCTGCCTATTACCCTACCCCACCCCACTCCACTGCTCACCCTTGGTCCCCTGGACCCTTCCCATCTGCAAGAGACCCACCCCCTTGTCTCCTTCTTTCCTTGCTTTATTTTTCTGTTAGTTTGTACTTTGCCTTATTCAGATGAGAAATACTTAACTACATCATGCAGAGCAGAGTTTTAGAGGGGAGAGTATTAATGTCTGTAATTTCCTTTGAATTATATTAAATATGGATTAATGGAAAAAGTAGATGGATAGACTAATGACAATATATACGAGTAATCTTTTTTAAAAAGTTGAAAAAGTAAGGTGGAATTCCACCTCACCTGAGAAAGAATGGCTGCTCTCATGAAATCCAATAACAAATGCTGGCAGGGCTATAGGGAAAGAGGAACACTGCTCCACTGTTGGTGGGAAGTGTAGACTGGTGCAAGCACTGTGGAAATCAGTATGGAGATGCCTCAAAGGACTAGGATTGCAAGTCCCATTTGACCCAGGTATTCCCCTGCTGGGTATCTTCCCCAAAGAATTAAAAGAATCATACCACAGTGATATATGTGCACCCATGTTTATAGCAGCACAGTTTGTAATAGCTAAAACTTGGAAGCAGCCCAAATGCCCACCAGCTGGAGACTGGATTTAAAAAATGTGGGGTTTTTTTATAAAATGGAGTCCTACTCAGCCATAAAAAATGAGAAATGAGAGACATTTATTGCTAAATGGATGCACATTGAGGCGATACTCTTAAGTGAAATAAATAGGACACACGTGTAAATACCGAATAGTTTCTCTAGTGTGCGAAAGTAAAAGTGTAAATAAGGCCTAAAAGGTATAATAGATAATGTGAAATAGGAAGAAAAGGGCAAAGGGGAAGGGGAAGTGGGAGGGATAGGGGAAAGGAAAGAAGGGAATGGAATTAATATGAGAAAATGGAAAAATGGAAACAAAGCCTTTGTAAATAGGGAGGGATGGAGGGGTTGAAGGGAGGGCAGGGGAATGGGGAAAAATATGAACCAAGAGAGATCATGTAAAAGTGCAAATTTCCAATGATGGTTGTCATTACATTATATACATAAAATGTACCAATAAAATTAATTTTAAAAAATAAATAACTCCATCCACCACAAAAAAAAGTTGAAAGAGTAGAGAGAGTAGGATGGTGGTTTCCAGAGTAGAAGGTGAAAGAAAATGGGAAGAAGTAGTCAAAGAACATAAATTTGCATTAACATAGAATGTGTAAATCTTAAGGCTTAATTTACACCATGCAGGTTTTGGTTAATGATTTTATATTGAAAATTTGCATAGAGAATGGATTTTAAGTGCTTTTAACACACGTTATACAGGTAAATATGGAAGGTGATTAATATATAATTTGTTTGGCTACTAATTATTTCACTATATATGTAAAGGCATTTTATAAACCTTAAGTATACACAATAAAAATAAGCTTAAAATGCAGATACAGAATGTTATTGGTTCAATCTAGATTTACAGGTGTTTACTGTAAAGATATTTTAGTATTATTGTACAATTGAAAATTTTTATTAAAATGTTTTTTTCTCATGGCAAAACACATACATATATAGATTGTGGCAATAGAATCAAAATAAATATTTCAAATTTTATTGATATCCAAGAAAGAACACATTGTTTTAAATGTAATTTGTACTTCTTGCTTTGAAGCACAGCACAGTAGTTAATTATTTAACTCGAACATCCTCATCTATCATTAAACTTTCAGGTAATAATGGGAACATTGTTAAAACTGGATCATACCACACTTGTAATCATTAAACATTCTCAAACATTCTAATTCTCCACCCCAGTTGTTGCCAAGCCACGTATTTGACAGCTCTGATCTTCTTGCTGATTTTATAAAGGTAATATCATGAGAAAGTATGATATAGCACATGATATAGTACATCAATGATTAGGCATGAAGGGGGATTACAGTGGGTCTCTCTATAATAATATGAAGCTTTCATGAATACACAAACAGAACACATAAACACATACTAAAGTAAAAAGAAGTACAATATGAAGAAAAAATGGTTTTAACATATAGATTAAAATAACTTATCACTAACATTAACTAATCTGAGTCCAACATACATGTATTATCACTTTTTAATTTAACCTTGAATGTTAAAATATTATATGTTAAGAGGTACAGATTGGTGTAAAACATATG